TACCTGCCTTTCAATAAATTTAACAAATTTAACAACACAAAATTTGTTAATGACTTAACGAAATTTAATCAGGCATTTTTGGCGGATAATAATATAGAGGGAGTGGACTTGAGAGAAGGAAGAGGTTCTTTAAAACGGCAAATATCAACTAGTGCTAGGAGCGATAAAGTAAGAAGCTTCTTCCTCATAACCTGAGGTGGGTTGGAATTCCGATTTCCGAAAAAAAGTTTGGTTTCCGAGTTCCGACTTCTGAGCCAGTTCCGATTTCCGGCACTTCCGATTTCCGACACCTCTGACTGTTCCGACCCACCTCTGCCTTATACTACCTTAAAAGGTACTCAAACCTAGAGAATACATCTTCCCTTATTTTTAAAGTCCTTTCTAAAATCAAAAAGTGGTCTCTGAAACTTTGTCGGATTATTTTTATTTTTTAATCAGAGAATAGAAAAACATACATATTTTTTAAGACGGCAACTTTTCCTATTAAACTTCTCAATGAGAAAAAAGGAGAATAAAAATATTAAAAGCCACTTACTTAATTCTTAATATGTTAAAATTATAAGGGAGAAGAAATTTTTTAATTTGTCCATTAATGACCATTTCCCCACTAAAAACAAAAATTAAGCTTTTTATTTTTTGCTTGAACAGCTGCTGGGCAGCAATCGAAAATGGGGGATAAAAAGTGGACATATTTACTCAATCAAGTTTACACAGTTACACACTCACAATCATTACTTAAATTAAGCTATTCTTTTTATAAATATAGTATTATTTTTACAAATCAATTCTGGTTTATTTAAATCAGAATTTTTTTGTTTCAATTACAACCAGAATAATTGTTTCAGAATATTTTTTAAACTTTAAAACAGAATTGATACAAATCAGAATTTATTTCTATGTAGTTGTTTAAGTCTTGTATATAACTTTTCCGGAAAATATTATACTTACTTTTCCGGAATTTTTATATTTAGTTTTTCTGGAAATTATTAATTTAGCTTTTCCGGAATTTCTGTATTTATTTTCCGGAAATTATTATATTTACCTTTCCGTAAATATATTTCATTTTTCCGGAAATCTATTTTATTTATTTTCCGGAAAACATTATATTACCTTTCCGGAAATTTATTTTATTATACTTTTCCGGAAATTACTATACCTACATACTTTCCGGAATTTTAACTATTATTACAATCGTCTATAAGCTTAAAATAATTTTATTCTCCTTATTCGACTAAGATTATTCAATCATAATGAAGGTAAGAATTTAAATTAAAGTTTCCTATTAAAATAGTGCTTCAATCGAAAATTTTTTTAAAATTCATTTTTCTTAGAATGTTATTTTGCGAACTAAGAGACGTCTCGGCAAGCGGTTGTTTTTGGGAACAAAAATGATAAAATCAAAAATAATTTTAAAACGTCAAACATTGGACGAACGTTTAGGTATTGCTATAGCCGTAGAGAATGATGAAAATAATGGAAGGTTAATGAAGTGAAAAAATTTTTTTCAAAAAAAAATTTTTTCAAGAGTTTTATGCGTTCGAATAGAACAAGTAGAAGAAGGTTCCGCTGCCCAACGCAGTGGTTTATTACATGGAGATGCAATTGTACGAATTGATGGGAGAAGTGTTAATAGCTGTACAAGAATCGAATGTTTGAGGCTTTTTGCGGACGCTAAGCTTTTAACAGAATTGGTTATTTTGCCTGTTGAAATGTAAGAATGGGATTTTATAAAAGTTTGGGAGATTGAGGGTACAAAATTTTTTTAAACAAATTTTGCTTAATATTGATAGTAAACGGAAATGTAAGACGGAAACTGGACGATAACCGGAAGTTAAATAATAACCTTGGAAAATAAAAAAATATTTTCCGGAAATGTTATTCTTTTCCGGAACTTATATACTATTTTAATGACTTCTGAATTATATTAACGTTAATTCCGGAGATATCTTTCCGGAAACATTTATAATTAATAAAGTATTAATTTTTAATATATAGAATGGAAGCGATCGAGAAAATTGGGGGTGCAAACGAAGATGGAATTTATAAAAATATGCAAAACAATATAAATATGAAAAAGCCGGCACGAGGTAATTAAATACTGCATTATTAAATAATTTTAAAAATTTTTAAAAATAAAAAAAATTTTTTGAAAAAATAATTTTATTTCCTCAACACTATTTTCAGACGTTCTAAATATTTTTATAGTGTTTTTTTAGTTTACACAATTTTTATGACCAAATAAAAATTTATAAACGTTCATTTTCTGAATCATTGCCAATGCTCAATTTCTTCATTTTATTTTTATTTTATTATTTTTTAAAAAAAATTTAGGGTTGAATTTAAATTTTATTTTTGTTCTTTCAATAACTTCGATAAATTTTTTCGTCCAATTAATTTTTTAAAATGCTTGGAATACCTTGTAGCTAATTAATTTACTTTTTATTTAAAACCCCCTTCAAAATTCTGTTTAATTTTCAAAGAGTTATTGAGTTTTAAACTCTTGAGTCATACATTTTAACCATCAATTTCTAACCTCTCCCTCCAATTTTTTTAATCGAAAATTCTTCTTCCTCCAATTTTTCTAATATTTTATTTCTTTAAATTCAAGTTTTCTTTTCCCCGATTAATTCTTTTATTAATCGGAATTTTATTTTCGCCATTTATTCTCACATTTCTCTCAAAGCCTTCACACAATAATTTTGCAAAATTAATTAAATAATTTTTTTTTCTGGGTTGTTCTGGAGGAATATTTAAAACTTTAATTATATCATGCAACTTTAATTTAGATTATATTTTCCGGAAATTAATTTTCCTGAAAAATATTACCTAGGTATATTCTTATGTGATATTACAGTTTTCCGGAAGAATGTAGTTTAATAAATATTATTTTCCTGTTAATAAATATTCTTTCCGGAAACGGTTTTTCTGTATAATTCCTGAATTATAATATTCATTTTATAAATATATTTATTTCCGGAATTTTTTATATCTCTAACTGATATAAAGTTTTTCGGAAGATACAGTAACTATATGGTTCCGGAAATTATTTTTTATTTGTTTCCGGAAGTAATATACAATGTATTCCTGAATTATAATATTTACTATTTCCGGTAATATTTTTCCTGAAGAATTATTGCTCTATTTCCGGAAACTATAATAAATAATTACTAATATAAACTCCATTTTAATCTCCAATTTAAAAATCATCTTTAATTTTATTTATTTTTTATTAATTCTCATTTTATCTCCCCAATAGTAATTATTTTTTAAAAGTCGCGCAAAGCATTTCCACTACTAAATAAATCGATTTATTTGCTTACTTTGTCCCTTCTCATTGTTCTCCTTTACAAACCTAACAAAATAATAGTCATCAATGGTCACTTGGCCCCTTCGCGCCACACTTTATTATTTCTTTTTTACCCCATTCTTTCCCTCCTTTTTTGCCTTTCCGGCCATATTTTCTTAGCTTTTGTTATTATTTTTGGCTTGGATCAAAAATCAATGAGAGAAAAAAATATGCCACCCTTGTTAATGTGGCCATATTTTTGTCTTAAATTTATTAAAGAAGTTTTTTCCGGAAAGGTTTATTCGTTCCGGAAACGCAATTTACTTGTGTATTTTTGAGTTATACATATTTATTTTCCGGAAATATATAAACTTTTCCGGAAAGAATAATATTATATTTCCGGAAATATATAAACTTTTCCGGAAAGAATAATATTATATTTCCGGAAATATACAAACTTTTCCGGAAAGAATAATATTATATTTCCGGAAATATACAAACTTTTCCGGAAAGAATAATATTATATTTCCGGAAGCATATTAAACTTTTCCGGAAGGAATAATATTACCTATATTACCGGAATTATATTATTTTCCGGAAAAATATATTTTTTATGAATTATAATATTTTCCGGAAATAATTTTCCGGAAGCAGAATAATTATCACTAATAATATTAAAACAGGAAATTCTCGAATGGATCGTTTACACCGGCAAGAATCATTTCAACAACAACAACAATCATCTTCTTCATCCTCTTTCTCATCAACAAATTTGTTGACCTCTTCAATTACCCCATCACTCATTTTTAATGAAGACGAAAATAATAATAAAAATTCCACAGAACAACAACAACCACCGGTTGCACGGGAAAGGAAAAGTAAAAGATTTCAAGCTGGTTCTTCTACTTGTTCAATTTCTTTTTATTCTTCATTTTCTTATGAGGATGATGGAATTGATGAGAAAAGGAATCAGAATTTTGGTAATTAATTTGTATTAAATTATTTTCCGGAAACTATATTACTTTCCGGAAAATAGAAATAATAATTATTTTCCGGAATTCTATAATTCCGGAAACTTTATTACTAGAGCTGTGAATTTTATGCATTAAAAAATGCAAAATATGCACTATAATATGCATAAAAAATTGCCGAAATATGCACGAAAATATGCAAGAAACCTAAAATATCCACGAAAATATGCATGAAAAATACAATTTATACCTAGAAATTTTACATTTTTTTAGTCAAATACATTCAAACACCTATTTTTATCAAGATTACTCCATGTTTATATGTTTTGTTCAACAAATTGAGTATTTTTACTCTGTTGGACATTTTGAGATGAAACGTTTTGCCAGTTTGACATTTTTGGGTTGGACATTTTTGGGTCGCGTTCAAAAAACAAAAAAAAATTTTTTACAAAATTCTTAATTTTACAAATTTTTTCCAAAATTTCTACAAAATTTTCACTTTTTGGCTGGATTTTAGGCAATTTTCGCAATATTTGTCCCAAAAACCTCAAAATATGCAGCAAAATATGCATTATGCAGCAAAGTCTGAAATATGCAAAAATATGCATTATATGCAAATAGAAACCCCCTCTAAAGTTTTCAAACCAAGCTAAAACAGTGTTTTTTGTGCTTTATACATGATGCCAAGTTTGCAAAAAAAATATGCATTTGCATAAAAATCACAGCTCTATTTATTACACTCTCTCTTCTTTATTTCTCTGAGTTTTAATATTTTCCGGAAAAGTGATTTACCAATAATTTCCTTGTTAAGGTTAATTTATGGACTTCTAACCGGATTAACCGGAACGATTATCATTGAAATACATATTTCTTTGGAAGTATACAAATATCCTAAATATTCAGAAAGATCAGACGTTTTGAGAGAAAGCCAAGTCGGACGGCGACCTTTTAATGTCGATGCGGCTGTCAATAATACCACCATTGAAGCAATTAATAGTGGAGGAAAGGGACGTCAACTAGAGCAATTTCGTAGCGGTCAAAGAGGAAGGGAAGAGGAAAAAGAAGAAATTGGGAAAGAGTCAACTAGCAATTTTAAAAGCAATGAGGGAGATTTTGACGATGAGCAGCAACAATTTCCCATCGGGGGAAGAGGAGGAGGAGGAGGGGAGCTTTGGAGTGACAGGTAGTCTTTTTTAGATAAAAGAAAATTTGAATTTTTATATATACGCGTTTTGGATTAACCTAAAAAAATTTTTTTTTGAAAAAGTATAATGGGGAAAATATATTTAAAATCCAGTCCAGAAACCAGACGCCAAAAAAAAGTTTGTGATGTGCGCCATAAAATTTAAATTTTCCAAGAATTTTTTTTTTTTTTGATTTTTTTAATTTTCTTGGATTTTTTCTTTCATTGTTAAGGATTATCTGACTTTATTTTACAATAAAATTTTTATTATTGAGGGTAATATTTATCTAACGCCTAAAAAAAGTTAAAAGTGTAGCTGTATTGCGAAGGTCAAATTTTTGAGGAAGAAAAAAAAAGTTGATGAGTTAGAAGAGAAGAATATCCTCGCACAGCCAGGCACACACAGAAAGTTTTTTCAAACATTAATAAAACCAACAACAACAATAAGAAAAAAGTTTTGCAACTCAGGGGCTAAGGGGAAAATTGTTGGCGATGTGCGCTGTGACATTAAAAAAACTTTAATTTTTTTAGAATTTTTGGGGGCAAAAAAATTAAAAAAAATTTTTTTCCTCTTCTCTGCCTTGAATTCAAAAAAAATTTTTTTGTTAGAATTTTCTTCGAGTATTTTTCTTCATATTTCCCTTAAAAATTACCCTTTGGCGTTTTGAAATTTTTTTGCGCACACTTCCTTCATTTGCATTTTTGGGGCAAAAAAATTAAAAAAAAATTTTTTTCCTCTGACTTGAATTTAAAAAAAAATTTTTTTTTTAATTTTTTTGAGTATTTTCCTTCATATTTCCCTCATAATTACCATTTTGGCGTTTTTTTTGCGCACACCTCCTTCCTGCGCAAAAATAGTCCTTCCAAACCCCCAAATTCTTTTAGCATTATAAAAACCTTTTTTTGTCTGGGAAGAATGTAATAGAGGGAAGAAAGAATTAGAGAAAAATTAGAGAAAAATAGCAAAAATGTATATATTATATTTCATTAAAAACACACACAAAAATAGCCAATTTATATAAAATTTTTTGCATTAGACGGAGGGAGAAGAACGCCACGCGTTTTTGGTTTTGTGTTGTTTTTAGTGCGTTTTAAACAGCTTTTTTTCTTTCTTTTAATGTTTTGTTTTGTTGTTATCGACTGTCAAAATCAGCAAAAGAATTTTTCCCAACGTGTATTAAAAGTGGATATTTCTAAATGTATTTTTTCCTTTTTTTCCTTCCAAAAGAGTTGCGCAATCGGGAAAAACGTAGCGCGACTAAAAACGTTTTCCAAGAAGAAAAAGAAACTTGATCAAAACCAAAACAACTATAACACTCAAACTTTTTAATGAAAAGGGGGGAAGATGGGGGAAGAATTCTTTTAAGGGACAAGCATTTTTGGAGACGTTGAAAAAATTTTCTGAAAATTTTTTCTGAAACCTCTCTGACAAAATTCAATCATTAGTTAACCAGACTAGGACCCGGATACTGATTTTGGTATTGTTACGACCCGAGGTGTGTCCGAGATTTAACTAATGTTGAGAGAGATCAGTGACTAGCCCCACTAGTATGATCCCAATAGAGTGACGATTTCACTGGCTTTTATAGTAAACTCTTTAAGGGCTGACGCCCATACACAACAGGTATCCGTATCCGGATATTTACGGCAGATACAGGCGGATACAGACGGATATCCGCAACATTTTAACAATATCTGTATCCGTATCCATGTCAACTCGTTAGGTTAACCCCCCAAAAGTGCTTTAGTGCTTTAGAAACATTGTATTCCTTTAAATTTCCTCGTCATCATTTTGTCCTTCAACTCATATTGCCTTATTTTTTATTCTCTCATCTTCCTCATCGCCCTTATTATTTTCCTCCTCTTCCATTGAAGAAAGTACACACATTCTTTTAATAAATAAAAACAACACCAACAAAAACCACCCATTTACATTCACAAAAATTATTTATTTTTATGTTAATCATTAAAAACATAAGACAACCAGCACAGATTGTTTTGTTGAAAAGGCTGTAATTATATATTAATTGTAAATTATATTGTAATAATTATTTTATTTGTTGTATTAATTGTTGTATTAATTGTAAATTAACACAACAACATTTAATAGAAACATGTTGTTGTTTTTGTATTTTTACATGTTTTGTATTTTATTTTGTATTTTTTGTGTTTTTCTGAATGTTTTTATAATTTTGAATGTTTTAAAAACACAAATGTTTCTGATGTTTTTGTATTTTTAAAACACAAAACAAGGACTAATGTTTTTATTAATGTGTTTTATAAAAACACTTGTGTTTTTAAGAAAAAGTTGTTGTTTTTGTATTTTCTATGTGTTTTGTATTTTTTTGTATTTTCTTTTGTATTTTTTCATGTTTTTCTGAGTGTTTTTATAATTTTTAATGTTTTAAAAACACATGTTTTTGAAAACACAAATTTTTCTAATGTTTTTGTCACAAAGTTTCTAAAACACAATGTTTTTAAAACACAAAACATGTTTTTATTAATGTGTTTTATAAAAACACTTGTGTTTTTAAGAAAAAGTTGTTGTTTTTGTATTTTCTATGTGTTTTGTATTTTTTTGTATTTTCTTTTGTATTTTTTCATGTTTTTCTGAGTGTTTTTATAATTTTTAATGTTTTAAAAACACATGTTTTTGAAAACACAAATTTTTCTAATGTTTTTGTCACAAAGTTTCTAAAACACAATGTTTTTAAAACACAAAACATGTTTTTATTAATGTGTTTTATAAAAACACTTGTGTTTTTAAGAAAAAGTTGTTGTTTTTGTATTTTCTATGTGTTTTGTATTTTTTTGTATTTTCTTTTGTATTTTTTCATGTTTTTCTGAGTGTTTTTATAATTTTTAATGTTTTAAAAACACATGTTTTTGAAAACACAAATTTTTCTAATGTTTTTGTCACAAAGTTTCTAAAACACAATGTTTTTAAAACACAAAACATGTTTTTATTAATGTGTTTTATAAAAACACTTGTGTTTTTAAGAAATGTTTTACATAAATTAATGTTTTTGTGAAAAGTTTTACAAACACCACAAATGTTCACAAATGTTCTTAAGATAATAGTAATGTTTTACAAACATTTTACAAACATATTGGTTTTAGGATGTTTTACGAACAAAATGTTTTTAAGAAAATGCTTTAAAACCTATGTTTTTGTGAAATGTTTTACAAACACAAATGTTTTAATAATTGTACCCCAAACATTCTTTTAAATTCCATTTTTATTTTTGTTTAGTTGGCGTTTTGTTCAACATTTTTAAAAAATGACATTTTATCCCAACTTTAATTTTATTTTCAATTTTTTCGAATTTCTTAAAATTTTCCTCACTAGATTTAATTAAAATTTTCACTTTTTTAGCTCAACAACAATTCATTGTCTTTCCTATCAACCTCAACAAGGTTGTTGTAGTGACAATATTATTAACAGTGACAGCAGCGCATCTACACAAATATTCCACGTTAGCAAACCCCTTTATTTTTTTATTCAATAAATCGAATATTTTAGGGGAATATTTTTTGTTTTATTTAATAATAAAATTTTATTTTTTTTTTCCAGCAAAAAACAATAATAAATCAAATGTCCCAGCCAAATAATAATAGCAGCAGCAATATTTCTTCTGACGACACAAAACCTGCAACGCTTTCTTCAACAAATTTTTCTTCACGTGAACAACAGCAAAATAATAATAAATTGTAATTTTAATTTAAATGGCTCTACTCCAGTTTATGAGTCCAATCAAAAAATAATTGGATTTTTCTTGGTGTTGCAAAGTCAGGAAAAATCCAAAACATTTTTTCATGTTCAGGACTAACGGCCACTGGGTCTGGGACCGTTCCTTACCCTATTTCTCAAAATTTCGGAAAGTTTCGAAATGAAGAAATGCTTGGAGCCAATTTTTAAGAATTTCAGAAAAACGATTTTAACTTGTCGAAATTTCGAGGGATAGGGTAAGGAACGGTCCCAGACCCAGTGGGCGTAGGTCCCAAACATGAAGAAATGCTTAGGAACCATACCCTAACTTCCTAACTTTGCAATACCAAGAAAAATCCAATTTTCTTTTTATTGGACGCATAAACTTCCATTGGACGCATAAAAGTCGATTGGACGCATAAACTGGACAAGAGCCGAAAAATCCAATTATTTTTTGATTGGACTCATAAACTGGAATAGAGCCATTTAAATTAGTCAATTTATCCAAAAAATAAATTTTCTAGCATTTCTTCTCGTCAACCACCACAGCCTAAAAACAGAAGAAGGGCTAGCCATTTTGCAACAACTTCAAGTTCATTCAATGAATCAAGGGAGAGAAACATTAGTGAGGAACAAAAACAATTATTTCTGTTGCAACAAGAACAAAAACAACAACAAAACTTGGAAAATAGTCAACGAAGAAATACAACATCGAACTTGTCTATTCCTACAAAAACAACAGCTAAAGAGCGTGTAGGGGTGCTGATTAAACAGGTTGAATAAATTTAAACTTTTTTTGGTACTTTCGTATTGTCTGTCCCAACATCCGCAAATGTTTGTCCGCAAAATTTTTTTGCCTTCTTCCTTTCTTTTCTCGTAGTTATTAAAAAATGGTCAAGAATTAATTTTTGTTAGGCTAATTGAAGGTTAGCCGAGACCGAAGATTTGCGATTCCAAAGGAAAAAAACAAAATTTTCGGTTCGTGTTTTCGGTTACCCAAAAAATTTGCTGAAACCGACAATCCCATTCATAGGCCAAATCTTGAAAATAGATTAGAACTATTTATTATTCTAAAAACAAATTTAAGAAACAAATTAAAAAATGACGTCCATTTTATAAGAAAAAATAGCATTAGTCCTTGACCATTTTTTAATAATTATCAGAGTAGAAAGAAGGATTGTCTGTCCCAACATCCGCAAATGTTTGTCCGCAAAAAAAAACAAAAATTTACAAAAAAACAAAAAAAAAATTTTTGCGGACAAACATTTGCAGAGTAAAAAATGAAAATTTTTTTACAATTTGTAATTTTACAAATTTACAATTTATTAAAATTTAATTTTTACAATTTTTAGTTCAATGCCTTAGACAAGGGAGAATTGCCCATTCCGAATGTTTTACAACCTCAAACTCTATCAAAATCCACATCTGTCCGCAATTTAAGTTTGAGTCCTTCAATTCGTTGTATTAATAGACAAACAACGTCAATTTTGTCTGATGATAATAGAGAAGAGGGACAATCGCCTTCCCTTTCTTTGGACAGCGATTTTCTTTTGCGAGAAAAGGTGAGGGGGAAAATTAATTTTTTTTTTTAATTTAAAAAAAAAATTATTTTATTAAAAAAATTAAAAAAAATTTTTTTAGGAAATCTAAAAAAAATTAATTAAAAAAATTAGGAAAAAAAATTAGGGGAAAATTAAAAAATAAAATTAATTTTTCTAAAAAAATTTTCTAGAACTCAACAACAGCATCATCAGTTGAAAATGATGAAGTTCAATCGCAAACAACAGATTGTACAAGTAATTCAATTGCTAATGCCTCTACACATTTGCCCTTAGAAGGTAGTGGAGGTACGGGGGCGTTGTTGGACTTGTCTCGATTTAAAACTGAAAAAGTTTTTTTTTTTAATAAATTTAAGAAAATTAATATTTTTTTTTCAAAGGTTATTGGAAGGACAGTTCCATGTTTTCCACATTCATCAGATTCTGACTGTGAATGTGACGATAGTGCTAATAATAATCGACAGGTTTTTTTAAAAATAATTTTGCTTTTGTAAAAATTAATTTTGGGAAATTACAAATTGTAAAAATAAAACTTTTGACAAAAAATAAACCTGATTTGTAATTTCTCAAAAAATAAACTTGACCATGTTTTTGTAAAAATTTAGAGAAATTACAATTTGTAAAAAAGAGAGCTTGAATTGTATTTTTAACTTTGAATTGTAATTTCTCAAAAATATATAAAACTTGACCATGCTTTTGTAAAAATTAATTTTGGAAAATTACAAATTGTAAAATCGACTTGTTTTATGAAAAATAAAACTTGAATCGTAAAAATAAAACTTATTTTCTGAAAAATAAACTTGATTTGCAATTTATCAAAAAATAAACTTGATCATGTTTTTGCAAAACTTAAGAAAAATTACAATTTGTAAAAAAATAAAACTTGATTTTCTAAAGAATAAAACTTGAATTGTAGTTTTTAATTGTAATTTCTCAGAAATATATAAAACTTGACCATACTTTTGTAAAACTTGAATTGTAATTTTATTTAAAAAACTTTTTTTTTTATTTTCAGACCAAAAAAACTTTGTTGTCATCATCAGAGAAACAACAACAAAGTTTATTTTTATCTTCTCTGCCTTCTGCTCAATTACAATCTACTCTAAATTCTTTAAATTCTTCTTCTCTAATTTCATCAGCATCTTCTCCTTCTCCAAAACTTTCTTCATTAATTATTCCAGAAAATAACAAAAAAGAAGAAAAATCACAACAAATTTCAACAAAATTAGAAGAAGAAAATTCTCATAAAAATTCTCTCCCTCCAACCAATAATTTTTGTTTATCAACAACTTTTAAAGAAGAAAATCTTGCCAATATTTCTATTAGTGATAAAACACTTACTGAAGATATAAACATTAAAGTTGAATTATCTACTCGTCAAAATCTTTCTTTATTTTTGGCTTCGTCTTCTTCCCCTTCACCTCCTTTGTTAGTGAAGGATGGAAGTTTAGACAGTCATCAACAATTAAAACCTAGCGAATATGAGGTTTGTATTATGTTAAATTAAACTTTAATTGTAAAAAATTAAAACTTGAGCATTTGTAAAAATAAACTTGAAAATTGTAATTAAAAAAATAAACTTGAATTGTAATATCTCTAGAAAATAAGCCTGAATTGTAATTTCTAATAAAATAAACTTTAATTAAATTTATAGAAAAATAAAACTTGACTATGCTTTTGTAAAATTAAAACTTGAGTATATGTAAAAATAAACTTGAAAATTGTAATTTGAGGAATTAAAGTTTAAATTGTAAAACTTGAAAAAATAAACTTGAATTATTATTTCTAGAATATAAACTTGATTTGTAATTTTTGGGGAGTTAAAACTTGAATTGTAATATCTATAGAAAATAAACCTGAAATTGTAATATATAAATAAATAAACTTGAATTGTAATATATAAACAAATAAAACTTGAATTAAATTTATAGAAAATTAAAACTTGACCATGTTTTTGTAAAAATTAAAACTTGAATTTGTACTTTTGTAAAACTTTAAATTCTTTTCCCCTTTTAAAGTTATCAACAATTCGCGGACTTTTAAGCCTTGATGAATATTCAAAAACTCATCTATTTTGTGTACTTTTGCATAGACCAGTTGGACTTGATGAAGTTAGTGTTGGTCTTTTATTATCCGAAAGGCCTCTTGTTCGTTCTACGCCAGAAAGAAATTCTTTAAATTATGCTATTGAAGTAATGAATGATTTTAATTAATTAAAAAATTATTTTTTTAAAGATTAGTAAAGTAACTTGTGGTTCTATTGCTGAGAAAAATGGGTATTTAATGCAAGGCGATAGGGTATTTATTTTTATTAAAAAAATTTTTTTAATTCATTTTTTAATTTTTTTTAAAGGTTTTCTTTATTCAACATGAGTCGACTGAGAATGTAAAAAATATTTTTTAAATTATTTTTTTTTGCGGACAAAATTTGCGGACTTTTCTGAAATTAAAAAAATTTTTTTTCTTAAATTACCCTAAAATACATACAAATACCCCAAAGAATTTTAGAAAAATTTAAAAAAAAATTTCAGTAAAATCCGCAAATTTTGTCCGCAAAAATTTTGTCCGCAAATATAAATTTTTTTTAATTCCGAAAAAAATATTCTTTTTCTTTTAGATGCGCGTAAAAGAAGCTAGAACATTATTACGTTCACGAGCCCCGTCAGTTCATTTAATTGTTGGACGCCGTCAAGGATTATTATATCAACAACAACATAATATTACAAATTGTTTAACTAATTCGTCTACAAGTGGTAGTAGAACAGCTTTGAGTGCTTCAAGTACTTCTAGTTTAACTGCTCTTTCTGAATATCAGGAAGATCACCAATCTTCTATTTGTAAGGGAGAAAAAAAATTTTTTTTTGAATTAATTTTTTATTAATTTTTAAATTTGCGGACTTTTAAAAATTTGCGGACAAAAATTTGCGGACTTTTTAAAAATTTTGCGGACAAAAATTTGCGGACTTTTAAAAATTTTGCGGACTTATTAAAATTCTTTTTTTAAACTTTCTGTTTTTTTTTCAAAAAAATGAGAGAATAAAAAGTCCGCAAGTTTTGTCCACAAATTTAAAAACCACGCAAAAAGTATTTTTCTAAAAATATTTAAAATCAAATTTTATTTCAATTAATTTTATTTTTTAAAGTTTTGACTGATCCAGCATTGGAGAGATATGCTCCAGACTCTATTCTTGTTACTTTACCTAAATCTGAACTTATTATGGGTTTATCACTTGATGGTGGTTTAAGCTCACGTTTTGGCGATCGTCCAATTTTTGTCAAGAGAGTTTTTGCTGGTAAATAAATTTATTAATTAATTTAAAAAATTTTTTCTTATCAAAATGTCCAAATGTTGAAATTGCCCAAAAAATTTCAAAAAAAATTTTTTTTTAAACGTCCAAATTGAAAAATGTTCAATTTTCAAAATGTCGATTTTTAAAAACGTCCCAAAAATTCCAAAAAAAAATTAAAAACATTTTCAATTTTAGCAGGAGAAGCAGCTCTAGAAGGCAGAATTTCTCCAGGCGACGAAATTCGAAGGATACAAATATATACAAAAAATATTATTTTTTTTCTTTTGATTATTGGATATATGTATGTACTTTATTAGATTGTACTAGCGGGGTAGGGCGGCCTTCGGCCGCCCCACCTCGCTAGCAAAAACAAATTAGCAATTCAAAAACCCTAATACAATGGCAAAAATCATATACCTAATCAAACCTAACTAAACTTAGCGTAATTAAAAACACAAACAAATTTAAAACTTTATTCACAACAAAATAATCAATAAATACATACAATATAAATATCAAAATCGGGTGAGTTTGTGAGTAGGAAAATGGGGATTATACAATAAAAATGGGTCAAAACAAATACAATACATATCTAGTACTTGCGTATAACAATACGCCTATTTTCTAAGAAACTGAGAAACTCAATCTCTCTCATCTAAGATTTCTTTATACACTACATTTTTGATCTTTCGATCACTATTACTATTATCTAACTTGACCCTAATCATATTCCATGATCTTGCTCTCGAAAGAGCCACATACAATTGCCCATGTCCGAAGACCTCTTTTCTAAGATCTATTCCAACTCGCTCAAGGGTTTGGCCTTGAGCCTTATTAATTGTCATAGCAAAAGCTAACACCAATGGAAATTGATGTCTATGCAAATCAAATGGATACTCCTCAGAACAACAAAGTGTTATCCGGGGGATATACGCAGTTTGACCTGCCTTATCTCCAGTAAGAATCCTGCAGACAATTAAGTTTGCATTCATCTCCTCAACACTCATTCTTGTCCCATTGCAGAGACCTTTTTCTATGTTCAAATTTCTAATTAACATGACAATTGCATGTTTCTTTAATCTAAGCTCATGCAATGAAAACCCATTTGGTCTCAGAGCATTCAAATACTCATCTAAATACTCATTGACACGCTGTCGATTTTCATCTTCAGCATGATCAATGCTAGTGTACAAAATCTCTTTTCCAGGTAACATACCCAGAACTCTACTATTTATCTCAGACACATCTATATTCTTTGGTGCTAAAATGGCACTATAGGCCATTTCTTTAAAATTCTCAGAATCAATACTATTTGCAAAAATCTCTTCTGCTAAGTCTCCATAACTAATACACTCGGAAGGCAATTTAATGGAATCATTTTCATCATTCCAATTGCCATTCCCTATTTCAATCAAATCTCTAGCAAACTCTTTCTCTGTTTCCAGAGCTCTCATATTTCTAGACAACTTATATTGCTTAGCAATATTCCAATACTCACTTCTTTTTATGGTCGAATTGACTATCTCAGCTCTTGTGGCATGTTTCTGAATTGGCAGGGTTTGACGAAAGTCGCCCGTCCAAAGCATAACTTTGCCACCAAATACTAAATCATTGTTCATAATTTCTCTTAACTTTTCATCTAGTGTTCGCAATGCGCGCTTATTTATCATAGGCGCCTCATCACATATGAACACCTCAGTCTCTTTCAACTCGTTCCATGTCCTATTTCTAGGGCCAATGTTAGAGTTGCTCATATCTAAAGCTAAACAAAATCTATTATGCATTGTTCTACCGGCAGGCATCAAAGTAGCTGCCATACCGGTAAAGGCCATAGTACAAATTCTCTTTTTCTCACCTCTAAGCATATGAACAATTGTATTGTTCACATGCGTCTTACCTGTTCCACCTGGTCCACTTAAAAAGTAGAACGCAGGTTCAGGAACAGATCTATTTACTCTATTCAAAATCTCATCAACTATTAATCTCTGCTCATCGTACATACTTTCGTATGCACTTAAGCCTAATTCTCTTTCTTCTTTAGCATTGAACGTCATTTCGACGTCCTCAGCTAAATCTATTTGTTCCATGGTAGGAAAATCAGTAAGTGATTTCCCACCCTTTACAATACTCAAAGCTATTTCTCTGTATGCTTTCGCATATGCTAATTCTTTCGAAAAATTTCTAATGAAATCTTCCGCTAAGAAATCTCTAAACATCAACCAAAGCTCATCCGGTTGAGAAGGATTGCAATGGACTAAGATCAAAGCAAAAAAATCTCTCAATTTTCTAGGCATCTCAAAACTCGCTGCCTCTTCTAAGGCCTTTTTCCACTCTTCATCATTTCTAATTAACCCTCGTTCAAGACATGCTTCAGAAAAGGTCGTACAGACTTTAACTGAGCCGTCTGAACGACTAAGTCTTGAGCTCCTCATAAGAGGAAGCTCCTCTCACATTCAACAACAATAGCCGTAGGTGGTATCGTTCAGGCTCAGCTGGTGATACTTTAACCATGCGACCAATTGCGTTAAAATGTGACTTTCTCTCAGTCCACTTTCCTTTACTAAAACAAAACTTTTCAGGCAACTGATGATACAGTAAAGCCTTCGAAGTCATGTTTATCTTATTCAAAGCAAAATAAGCTAATAACTCAGAACAATTTCTTGTTCTTTCTAGGATCTCTTCTTCACTCATTGTCTCATCAAAATAACAAATTTGCTCGCCCTGCAGATGAACTGGCAAGGCCATAATACTATGACTTCTATCATACATAGGCAATTCTAAGATTCGCCAGACTGCCTCCTGAGGACAGACATATCTAGCGTCTATGAACTCTTTTACTTCATCATGATCATTTCTAGTCTCAAGTTCTAATCTTGCTCTATCCGGTGGTTTATGCACATACTTGTGCAAGTATTTCACCGAACTAATGCTATTAACTTTTTCAAGGTTAATATGGCATCTAAATACTTTCAATAGATAAGGATTGTGAGGCACAACCCATCTATTGTCTAATTCTACTCTGTTTCCAGAGACTAAGACTTCCACTTTTCTACCATCATCAGGTCTGGCGTATAACGTCAAACCATTCTCTAAGACCAAAGTCTTCTCTTGAAATGCTTTAGGATAACCCTTAGAGCATTTCCTAATCTTTTTTCCATTTTCTAGGATCTCTTCCATGCATGGGGAGTTTGGATTCAAACTTCCACATGGACCATGGATCATAAATCTCTTTACTAAATCAAATATCTCAGTACCTTTTTCGGGTATTCTAGCACTAATACCTCTTTTATCAACATCATCAGATGTCAATAACTTGTCCTCTTCGGAAAGAGTCAAAAGCAAGTGTATATGAGGAAGGCCCCTGCCCTGATTCTCCACAGGATACATCCAGGCAAGAACACTTCCAAATATTCTAAGCTTAACTATTTGCTGCATAACAGCCTTTACTTTCAAATAAAACACTCGAACGACCAAATCTGGCCGATCGCTAGTAACTTGATCATGAAACAAATTATTTACAATCTCAGACCACATAGGGTTACATGTCATAGTCAAGAAAAGGTCTGGATTTCCAAACCTTCTGACTACGGCCATAGCATCTTGAAAATGCTTCTCAACATATCTAGGACTATTTGTCACACTTGGAGGAAGGATAACCTTCCGACCAAGCGGCAAACCTAATTCTTGCGATCTAAGAAACATCATATTATCGATGTTCTTATACGCCTCAGCACATATTTTCTTTTGATTCATACGAATCCATCTCAATCTATCTCCTTCTATCTTCACATACTCATCAACACAATACTGCTGAAAAAGTTTTCCCCCATATAAAATAGGATTGAACTCTTTCCTAATGGCCAAGCTGTAGCATACATACTGCAGCCTAGTCACTCTTCTAATACTATTATTTTGCTTCAGCTCAGGATGCCAACCTAGAGTACCACCTGGATAAAAAAGTGGATACGTCATAGGAGTCACCATCGCATCAGCACTATTCAAAATCTTTAACTCTTTACCTCGTTGTCTCACGACAACCTTTGCATCAGGTACTTCCCCGTCGGCGCCGGGTACATACACTGCTGCTACTTCATTTGCTCGTGGTACATTGTACCCTAATCTTCTATCTAATTGCTTTCCGGTTTCAAACAAAAGTTTGATCTCGGTCGGCTCTCTATTTTCTAATTTAGCTTTTTCAAGCTCTAAGCATTCCTCTTCTTTCATCATCATATAAGCCTTAGCAAAAGGGTTACCCCTTCTAATAACATCATACACAGTTCTAAGCAATTCAGGGTCGACTCCGGCATTAGCCTTCGTCATCGCCCTCATTGCCTCAGCAGTATCTACTATGAAGATCTGCCCGTAGGCAGGATCTTCACCTAAGTCTGGATTCAATGCCACATTTAATTTGTGGTATACTTGACCGTATATGCGAAAGCAATACGGCCCTCTTTTGCTAGGATATCTATATCTAAGTGGATTCATCGAAGCAAAGGACACGCTACTATTCAAATGACGGATATTGTCAAAGAAATTCGCATGCCTTGCATCTAATTTCATAAACAAATCTCTCAATTCTTCAGGAAAATCCTGCTCAGGTATATTCAATCCAACAACCTTACCATGATGGCAACAGTCATTGAATGAATTACCTCTAGTCTTTTCTTCTGCAAAATGCAATGCACCACAGTGCATGCACTCTACACTAAGATCACTAAGCTTATTCTCTTTAGCTAAATCTAAACAACTCGCTTGGTACTTGCGTACAGCTTGTTGCGCTAAATCTCTTCTATACTTGCTTTGTCTTTTTCTCTTATCACATAGTCTAAGTTCTCTTTCTTGCTCAGATTCAAGCGATCTTTTGACCGCTTTCCTCTGTCTATCTTTTTCAAGTCTAAGATTTCTAATATTCTCGTCCTCAAGGGACCTCAGAGACTGCTGCCTCTCTCTATCACAAACTAATCTAAGATTTCTAAGATTCTTGTCCTCAAGGGACCTAAGAGACTGTTGCCTCTCTCTTTGACTAACTAATCTACGATTTCTAAGACTATCACTCTCCGCAGCGCGGCTTTTCCTCTTCCTTTCGGCAGCATTGGAGCAGCACGGTTCGTCAGGTTCCATGGGCAAAAAGCCAGCGATCTAGAATCAACACCTTAAAGTTAAACAAAATTTTAACAAAACAAACTTAGAGCAATGACAGGACTCAAACAAACGTTGATGGAATAGAGCACAGCAACGTAGAACAGAGCACAGCAACGTAGAACAGAGCACAGCAACGGAGAACAGAGCACAGCAACGAAAAACAGAGCACAGCAAC